TTGTGTTTCAAAAAGTAATCAAAATACTCTTAGGTTAGCAGCTTTTCAGCGAAGCTTTAAAAAAAAACAAACCTTGGAGTTACAGAATCTAGAGCCAAAGAGGACTTAAGAGATATCTCATCTTGTCCAACCTCTCCTCATTTTACAGATGAGGAAAACAGCCACAGGTAAAAAGATAAAGTGTATAAACCTCACAGAGGAATCAAGACTTTGAACACAGTGTGAGATGGGGGAGGCTTCTGAGCTGTGGGAATGATGAAGAATGTGGGAATTCATTCAACAAGTGTTTATTATCCTCTTGATAACCTTGTAGTTTTTGGGGGCAATGCATCTCATAGGCTTTGAGTTAGCGACACATGGAGGAAAATGCTTGAGAAACTTCCCGATCTAGAACACGGGCTTTTTAAACATAAAACCACAATGAAGTATTATGTTGCTCACATTGGAGTGGAAGGGCATTCCTATAGGCCTTGCTGAGGGGAATGAAGATAAGAGTACCTCCTTTAAGCTTTAGATTTGGTCCAGCATGTTCCCAGAACATACACTTTTGATGTACAGCCACCTCGATATTGAGCACACAGTTTATTTATTAGTTAATTAATTAAACTAATTTTTTATTAATAGCTCAATACTTACAGGACTTTGGGAGAAATTATTTTCCCTGCTGCTGACATTTCATCATGTTCTCTGAAAACACATAATGCTTCTGGTGATAGACCTTATGTCTATCACCCAAGAACCACTCTAGCTAAGTTTAGGAAGATTTATCAACAGGTCGGCTGCAGAATGATTTTTCAGCAACATCAACTCATAAGGTATAGAGGAGTCGCATTCTGTCAGTGGTAGGAGGACCTAAATGAATTCAACCATAGATCCATTGAAATATTATAGGAGTTCTCCAGAAAGGGGTACTTAGCTTTCACATGAGGAAAAGAAATTCATACAAATTCTTAGCTCTCTTCTGAGATCCAGAACTGCATATCTAACTACCTATAGGATATGTTGTTGTTTAGTTGTTTCAGTTGTGTCCAACTCTTCTTGATCCCATTTTTTTTTTGTTTTTGGTGAGGCAATTGGGGTTAAGTGACTTGCTCAGACTCACACAGCTAGTGAGTGTTATGTGTCTGAGGCTGAATTTGAATTCGGGTCCTCCTGACTCCAGGGCTGGTGCTTTCTCCACTGCGCCACCTAGCTGCCCCTATTTGGGGTTTTCTTGACAATGATACTGTATTATGGTTTGTCATTTCCTTCTCCAGCTCATTTTACACATAAGGAAACTGAGGTCAACAGGGTTAAGTGACTTGCCCAGGGTCACACAGTAAGTGTCTGCAGCTAGATTTGAACTTAGATCTTCCTGACTCCAGACCCAGCTCTCTATCCACTGCATCGTCTAGCTGCCAAATTGGATATGTGCAACTAGCAATTCAGACTCAACATGATCCAAAACCAAAGCTTATTATTTTTTCCCTCTAAACCTATTCATTCTTCTATCAGTAGCAGCACTGATCACTTTATCTCCCATGTACAAGACTGTGGCCTTTTAGTTCTTCCTGTTCTGTCATCTCTTAAGTCCTACCAGTTCTTACTATGCAAAGTTTCTCACATCTATCACTTCTACTTAGGCACCATCTTAATACAGACATTCATTACCATTAGTCTACTCAGTATCTTTCCGTTTTCCTTTCTTCTGTCAAAGTCATTTTTCACAGATCTAATTATGACCCCCCCACCCCATACCCCATTGATAAATCTTCAGCGACTCTTAATTAAAATTCACCCACTTTTGCCTGACATTCAAGGCCCTCCCCACCTTTCTAGTTTTATCTCTTAAAAATTTTTTTTTCAATTGGCAGAAATCCATTTTCTCTCCCTCCCACCTTGTCACAACCCCAGTGGGAATGGGGTGGGGGGAGGAGGAAATAAGAACAATCAAATCCTTTTAACAAATATGCATAGTCAGGCAAAAAAATTTCCACATTGACCATGTTCAAAAATGTATGTCTCATTCTGTATTCTGAGTCCATCACATCTTTGTTAGGAGATAAATAGCATGCTTCATCATTGCTGCTTTGCGGATTGTAGTTGATTGTTGCATTTATCGGAGTTGAGTCTTTCAAAGCTGTCTGTCTTTACTGTGTTGTTGTTATTGAATAATTGTTCTCTTGGTTCTGCTCACTTCACTTGGCATCAGTTTATACAAGTTGTCCCAAGTTTTTCTAAAACCATTATTCCTTATAGCACATTAGTATTCCATTATAATTATATATCATAGTTTGGTTTGCCATTTCCTGGGTGATTAGCATCCCCTTCATTTCCAGTTCTTTTCCACTACTAAGCAAGAACTGGTATTAATATTTTTATACACATGGGTCCTTTTCTCTTTCTTTGATATCTTTAGGATATAAGCTTAGTTGTGGCATTGCTGCATGAAAGGATATTCAGAGTTTAGTAACTCGTGGTGCAGAGTTAAAAATTTCTTTCCAGAATGTAACAGCTTCACCAGCCATGCATTTATATCCTGATTTTCCCACAGCTCTTCCAACATTTATCATTTTCCTTTTTGCTAACTTCACTAATCTGATGGGTATGAGGTAGAACCTCAGAGTTGTTTTCTTAATTTTGATTTCTCTAATTTTTAGTACTTTGTAGCATTTTTTTAAAAAAAATATGGCTTTTAAAAGCTTGAATTTCTTTCTTCAGAATTGCTTGTTTATATCCTTTGACCATTTATCAGTTGGGGAATGGCTCAGATTCTTTTAAATTTGAATCAGTTCCTATTTATCTTAGAAATGAGGTCCTTATCAGAGAAATGTGCTGCAAATATTTTTCCCCATTTCCTATTTCTTTTCTAATTTTCGTTGAATTGGCTTTATACAAAAACTTCTAATTTTATGTAACTAAAATTATCCATCTTATCTTCTGTGACCACATCTGTCCTTGTTTTTATCATGAACTATTCCCCTACCCATAGATCTGAAAGGTAATTTCCTTTTTACTCATTCATGTGTAAGTTATGTATACATTTGGAGCTTGTCTTTGTATATGGTGTGATGTGTTCATCTAAATATGGTTTATGACAGACTGCTTTTCAGTTTTCACAGCAACTTTTATCAAACAGTGAGTTCTCACCACAGGAGGTAGGATCTTTAGGTTTATCAAGCACTAGATTACTGGTATTATAATCTGTTCCACTGATAAACATGTCTATTTCTTACCCAATACAAAATTGTTTTGATGATTACTGCTTTGCAGTATAGTTTGAGATGTGGTATTGCTAGGTCCCCTTCCGTCCTATTTTTTTTTTTATTATTTCCTTTAAGAATCTTGACCTTTTGTTCCTCCAGACAAATTTTGTTATTATTTTTTTCTAGCTCTATAAAATAATTCTTTGGGAGTTTGATGGATATGACATTGAATAAGTAAATTAGTACTGTAATTGTTATTATGTATTGGCTTGGCCTACTCATAAGCAATTAATATTTCTCCAGTTATTTAAGTCTGTATTCATTTCTATAGAGAGTGATTGGTAGTTGTGTTCATATGGTTTCTGTGTGTATGTCTTAGCAGGTAGGCTCACAAGTATTTTAATTATTTTAAAAGTAATTTCTTTATCTCTTCCTGCTGGATTTTGTTAGTAATATGCAGAAATGCTGATGATTTACATGGATTATTTTATATCCTGAAACTTTGCTGAAGTTATTGTTTCAATTAATGTTTAATCGATTCTCTTTCTCTACAGTTCTCTAAGTAAACTGTCAAATTATATTCAAAGTTGATAATTTTGTTTTTTCTTCTGCTCTTCCTACAATTTTTTTCATATTTTTGATATAGCTAACATTTCTAATAGTATATCCCAGTAGTGGTTGATATTAAAGATACTGAATATCTTTGCTTTACTCCTGCTCCTATTGGAAGCTCTTAGTTAATCTCCATTATATATAAACCTATCTCTTGGTTTTATATAGGTGCTATTTACCATATTGAGGAAAACTCTTTTTATTCCTATGTTTTCTAGTGTTTTTAGCAGGATTGGCTGCTGTATCTTGTCACAAGCTTTTTCTGCATCATCATATAATTATACATGTTTGTTGTTCTTATTACTAATATGGTCTGTTATGTTGATTTTTTTCCTAGTATTGAGCCAGTCCTGCATTCCTGGCATAGAACTGGGCTGGTCACAGTGTATAATCTTTGTGATAGGTTGCTGTAGTCACCTTGCTAATATTTTATTTAAAATTTTTACGTCAGTATTCATTAAGACTACATAGTCTCTAGCTTTCTCTTTTGACTCTGATTTAGGTATAAGAGTTTATGTAATATTGGAACCAACCTTGTTACTATTCTCTTCCCCATGTCATGTGCCTTCCTCAATCTAAGATCCTCTCTGGAGCCTAATTGTGCCCTGCTTTTCCCTACTCATTCCCTCAATTCATGCTGTTCACTTGTGGTTTGTCCTCTTCAGGTTTTGAATTCCTATTGTGATACACCAATCTTATGTGATACAATAATCTTATATTATTGTACCATAAATATGATATGAAGAATACAAAAAGTGGGGAGGAGATTTACATGACTGATACAGCAATGAAGAAAACAAAATCAGAACAGAAATAAACATTATTTTTAAAACTTACATATGTATATATATATATATTTTTTTTAATTTAACATTTTTCTGTCTGTCCTTTCTAATCAAACTTAAATGCCTATTTCTCCATTAATCCTTTGCTTAACCTCTCCACTGTCAGCAACAACCTTTTTTTCTCTCAAGCCTCACAAAATAATCTTTTGTACTTCCTCTAAATATCCTCATTATATCTAATTTTGCGTTCATCAGTGTAAATGTTAGGTCTGTAGAGGGACCATAGAAACTTTGTCTCTCTCGCCTCAGGCACAGGAAACTGTGCATACACACAAAAAACACATACAGCCACTTATTTAATGTTTGTTGAATTTAAGTGAAGTCCAGTAGGAAAATAGTACATTTGTCTTCTTTGTAGGATGGGAGCTGCAGATAACATATATAAGGGCCAGAGTACCTTTATGGAAGAACTGACAGACACAGCAGAGATTATAAGAAAAGCAACGTCACAATCCCTAGTGATCTTGGATGAATTAGGAAGAGGGACAAGCACCCATGATGGAATTGCCATTGCTTATGCTACTCTGGAGCATTTTATTCGAGATGTAAGTATATTGAATTTTCTTTATAAAATGTGTATATAATCTCAACATCCTAGATTGATCTCTCCAGACTTAGCCCCTAAACTTTCTAAAAGTAACAGCTACCACTTATAATTGATTTTTTAAAAATGATTGATTGTAGAGTACATGTTCATAAGATTATCAGTGTAGATCTCTGTGAAACTTCAGAGGCCATCTAATATGACCCTTTCATGTTTGGATTGGAAAACTAAGGCTTAAAGACATTATGTTTGTCATTAAAATTACGTATACTGAATTTCATAGGCTATGGTTTTTTTTATGTGACTGAAGGATATTCAGTTTTTGTTGTTGATTATAATTCCCTTATAACTTAGTAGACTGTCTTCAGGAATTGTTGTGGCCAGAAAATTTCATCCCACGATGGCCAGCTATGTGATGACCTTTTTCCAAACCAAGCTAGAATTGCTTCTCAGCCTTTTGGCTAAGATCAAGTGTGTCCAAACCTAGCTAGAGTAGTCCTTGTAAAGCAGATGTTCACTCCATCACTGAGATCATTCTCTAAGCCCTTTCACCTTGGGGGACTATGCTATAACCTACACAAGAGGTGTCAAATATGCAGCCCAAGCCAGATTAAAAGATAATTGGGAAATATTTGACAAAATAAATACAAATAAAATAAAACAGATTCATATTACATTTTAAAACTAAGCCAATATAGGGCCCACAGGGATCCTTATGTATAGATTAGTGTCCTCTGTATCTATTTGAGTTTGACACCACTGGTTTATGCTGTACTGATATAGCATTGAAGAATCCAGAATTATCTCCATGCCATGATGAGGCATCAGAGTAAGATTTAGTGGAAGATTTTCATCTGTATTACTATCTAGATATTAGTCCTTGGCAACTTCAAAGTTAGAAGTAGAAAGCCTTGAAAGAATAGTAACAAGAAAGATAAAGCTCAGAATAAACATGAAGAACAACAAAGATAGGAGGTTTTAGCTATATTGGGGAAAAGTAGAAGCACAAGGGATAGAGACACTGTTCAGGGTAACTGGCGCCATCATATCAAGTGACAGAAGGTAGAATTACTTAACTTTTGTCTCTACTCAATTTTGTCTCCATTTTCTGTTTCAAGGAAAGTAGTTCTTAGACTAGAAGGAAAAGAACAAAAATTCTTATTAAGGAATTGAAACCAATATGAGTAGAATACCTACCTGCCCTTGGTCAGTTCAAGTCACCAGACAATACAAATGATGTGCACACTAGAGTACTTGGAAACTTGAAGATATGATTGCTTAGCCACAGTCATGGAGAAGGACAAATATTGTTTTGGTTCAAAGTAGGCAGTGGAGTGGAGTCTCCAGACTATAAGCCAGTCAGCCTGATTTCAGTTAGGTAGATTCAGAACTTGCTGCACAACTTTGTTGTTGTTCAGTCATTTCAGTCGTGTCTGACTCTGACATTTGGGTTTTCTTGGCAAAGATATCAGAGTAATTTGCCATTTCCTTCTCTGGCTCATTTTATAGAAGAGGAAACTGAGGCAAACAGGGTTAAGTGACTTGCCCAGGGTCACAGGGCTAGTAAGTATCTGAGGCTGGATTTGAATTCAGGTCCTCCCGACTCTAGGCCTGGTGGTCTATCTATCCACTGTGCCGCCTACCTGCCTGCTGAACAACTAGATCTCCAAAAATAGTTATGAATGGTTCATTGTAAGCAGGAAAAGTCCTTTCTGTTGGAATGCCCCAGGGACCTATGCTATTTAACACATTTATCAATGACTTGACTAAAGGTGTACTTATCACATTTTCAGATAACACAGAGTTGGGAGAAATAGCTAACATGTTAGCCAACAATTAGAATTTAACAAGATCTTGAATCTCAGAAGGTGAAATTTAATACAGATAAATATAAACTCTTAAACTTGGGTTCCAAAAATCAACTTGACATGTATGAGATGGAAAATGTAATTAAATAGAAGTAAGGGTATGTTTAGCAGCCTGAAAGTGCAATCAATATAAGTCAATAGTGAGATATGGCTGCTAAAAAACAAGTTAATACAGCGTTAGACTACATTAGGAAAGCAATAGCTTCTAAGATGAGAGAGAGAGAGAGAGAGAGAGAGAGAGAGAGAGAGAGAGAGAGAGAGAGAGAGAGAAGGTCCTGAATACAGAAGAGGGAAGATTTTCATGAGTTACGTCCATGTTCCTGTGGTATGCTCCCACTATGCTCTGTCCTGGCTAGACTGTATCTAGAGCATCATAATTAAGTTGCAGGTGCCATGTTTTTTGGGAGAAAAAAAGAATAATCTGGAGAGTTTTCGAAGGAGGATAGCCACAATGGTGAAGGATTTTGAGATCATGCCACCTGCATAGATCAGTTGAAGAAAGTGGAGGAGAGAAAACTTGAGGTGGGAAGATGGAAGGAGAACAGTAGCTGTCTCCCGGTATTTGTAAGGTTGTCATGTAGAAGGACTAAACTCGTTCTACTTGACTACAGAACTAGGAGTGATGGTTAGAAGTGGCAAAGAAGCAGATTTTGGTTTGAAGGGGAACATGTTTATAGAAGGAACCAGGGAAGAAGTGAATAGAGGGGGAGAGATTGCCGTGGAAATAGAAGGCAATGAAATTAAGCACAAGAATGTGAATATAACTCATGGAAGTCTTCTCCTCTTCTGTATGTTTTAATGCTTTTTCCATGTTTTTTTTTCTATGATCAAATCTGTGTTCATTTCTTTCAGTGTCCAGCCCATCAGTTCCCCTAGTTCCACCTGCTTTTCCATTTCCTTCTTTTTGTTTCTTTATATCTCTTTATCATTCCTTCCTTCATTTCTTTTTTCTCTCCTCTGCCTTACTTTTCCTTAGCCCTCAAATAATCATGATATAGATTTAAGTTGATATTTCTTTACTTATGTAACTAACAAGACCTTAATTCATTTGCTTTTTTATGTGATTTCTTCTTTTTTTTTTTTTACTGTGACTCAATGGCTTTTGCTCTAAATCAGGGGTTTTTAACTTGGGGTCCATTTTCTTGTTTTTGTTTTTTTTTGTTATGTTTTGTTTTGTTTTACATTCCTATTAAACATATTTTCACATTAGTGACGTTGTAAGTAAAAATTAAAACCAATAGGAGGAACCATTAGAAAGAGAAAACAAAACTCAACAGAAGAGGAAAAAAAATAGCAATTCAACTTCCATAGTTCTTTCTTTGGATGTGGATAACATTTTCCATCACGAGGCCTCTGAAGATGTCTTAGATCCTTGTATTGCTGGGAAGAGTTAAGTTTATCACTGTTAGTCATCACACAATGTGGCTGTTATTGTGTACAGCTTTCTCTTGGTTCTGCTCACTTCACTCAGCATCAGACCATCCAAGTCTTTCCAGGTTTTTCTGAAGTCAGGCTGTTCATCATTTCTTATAGCACAACAGTGTTCATTACATTCATATACCACAACTTGCTTAGCCATTCCCCAATTGATGGGCATCCTCTCAATTTCCAATTCTTTGCCACCACAAAAAGAGCTGCTATGAATATTTTTGTACATATGGGTCCTTCATGCTCTTGTTTTTAAAAATATTTTGGTAACTGCATTTCAATATAGTGGTTTTCTTTGTTGCCTTATGTATTTTATCTTATACATTTAAAAACAGTGTTCTGCGAAGGGATCCACAGGTTTCTCCAGCCTCTCACAGAGGTCCTTGATACTTAAAAAGGTTAAGAATCCCTGCGGTAGCCGGAGTGGATCCAAAATGGTGGAATCAAAGTAGGGACTCACCTGAGCTCTTCCAAATTCCCCTCCAAACAACTTTAAGATAACACATCAAAAAGAATTCTGGAGTAGCAGAACCAACAAAAGGACAAAGTGGAACAATTTTCCAGCCTTCTAAGACAACTTAGAAGGTTGGCAAGAAAGGTCTGTCCACTGGGGTGAGAATGCAGCACAGTCCAGTGCAAGCCGTGCCACAGCAAGCCAACAGGAAGGCCTTGGAGGTGACTGAATTGGCATTGACAACTTCTGGAGCTCTCAGCCTGTAAGGGGGTTGGACAATTGGTCAGAAGGGGATTTATAGGACCATTTTGCTGGCACTGGGCTCAGGACCCTGTTGCATTGCCCATACTCGATTCCAGGTCTTGGTCCCAGGGCAAGCAGGAGCACTAGCAGAAACAGGAACCCTGATCACAGTTCCAGGATGGACGAGAGTGCCTGTAGTAGCGCATAGACTAAAGCACAGGGCAGGAGAGCAGTGGCCACTTCTTAGATTATACCACCTTGGAAAAATTAAAAACTTTACAGACTCCCAGAACTAGCTCTGAAAACAGCAGCATGAAAAACCAGAAGTTTGGGACAATACTCCCTCTACCCAGGGAGCAGAGCCCAAATGTAACATTAAGTTAAAAGTCAAGAAATTAGCTGGAAAAATGAGCAAACAACAACAACAAAAACCTGACCATAGAAAGTAACTATTGGGATGGGGAAGATCAAAACACAAACTCAGGAGAAAACAACAAAGTCAAGACTGCTATATCCAAAGCCTTAAAGAAAAATGTGAATTGGTCTCAGGCCCCAAAAAAGAATTCCTGGAAGAGCTCAAAAAAGATTTTAAAAATCAAATAAGAGAGGCAGAGGAAAAAATTGGGAAAAGAAATGAGAGCAATGCAAGAAAATCATGAAAAAAAAAGTCAGTAGCTTGGTAAAGGAGGCACAAAAAAATACTGAAGAAAATAACACCTTAAAAAACAGATTAGGCCAAATGGTAAAAGGGCCCAAAAATCTACTGAAGAAAAGAACTCCTTATAAAGCAGAATTGGCCAGATGGAAAAAGAGGTACAGAAATTAACTGAAGAAAAGAACTCCTTAAAAAGCAGAACTGGACAAATGGAAAAAGATATACAAAAGCTTACTGAAAATAATTTCTTAAAGATTAGAGTTGAGCAAGTGGAAGCTAATAACTTTATATGAAACATTAAGAAACAAGAAAACAAAATCAAAAGAATGAAAAAAAAAAAAAAACAAAAGAAAATGTGAACTCCCTCATTGGAAAAACAACTGACCTGGAAAACAGATCCAGGAAAGATAAATTAATATTGATTGGACTACCTAAAAGCCATGATCAATAAAAGAGCCTACATATCATCTTTCAAGAAATTATTAAGGAAAGCTTCCCTGATATCCTAAAACCAGAGGGTAAAATAGTAATTGGAAGAATCCACAGATCACCTCCTAAAAGAGATCCTAGAATGAAAATTCACAGAAATATTATAGTGAAATTCCAGAACTCCCAGGCCAAGGAGAAAATACTGCAAGCAGAAGAAACCATTCACATATTGTGGAGCCACAGTCAGGATATCATAAGGTTTAGCAACTTCCACAAAAAAGGAGTGTAGGGCTTAGAATAGGATATTCCAGAAGCCAAAGGAGCTAGGATTACAACCAAGAATCACTGAGTATCATCCTTCAGGAGAAAAAATTCAATGAAATAGGGGACTTTCATTCATTTAGAAAATTTGACTTTTAAATACAAGACGCAAGAGAAGTACAAAAAAGTAAACAAGAAAGAGAAATCATGTGCAATTCACTAAGGTTAAACTATTTGCATTCCTCCATGAAAAGATGATACTTGTAACACCTAAGAACTTTATCATTATTAGGGCAGTTAGAAGTATTGTACATATACAGAGGGCATGGATATGACTTGACTATGATATCTAAAAAAACTAAGGGGTGAAAAAGAGAGCTACACTGGGAGGAGGAGGACGGGAAAGGTAGAGTGGGGCAAATTATCACACATAATAGAGACTTGAAAGAGCTTTTACAGGTGAAGGGGAATGCTTGAACCTCACTCTCATCTGAATTGGCTCAAAGAGGGAATAACATACACACTCAGTTCGGTATAGAAATCTATCTTACCCTACAGAAAAGCAGGAGGGGAAGGGAAGAAGAGAAGGAAGAACAGGTCAGGGGATGTGGTGGTTAGCAGCAAAACATTTTTGAGGAGAAACAGAGGGAAAGGAGAGAGAAGGTTAAACAGGTGAAAAGTTAAGATGGGGGGAAGTACATAGGAATCCCAGCTGTGAAAAAAATTTATCAAGTTTCTCTGATAAAGGCCTCATATATAGAAAACTGAGTCAAATTTGTAAGAACACAAGTCATTCTCCAACTGATAAATGGTCAAAGGATAAGACTAGACAGTTTTCAGAAGAAGAAATCAAAACTATCTTTAGTCATGAAAAAAATGCTCTAAATCACTATTGATTGACTTATTCTCAGTAATACAGTAATCCAAGATAATTCCAAAGAACTTATGATGAAAAATGCTATCCATCTTCCACAAAAGAACTGATGGTGTCTAAATGCAGATCAAAGCATACTTTTTTTAAAACTTTATTTTTCTTGGGTTTGGGGCTTTTTGTTTTGTGTTTTTCTTTTCTTTTTTTTGGTCTGTGTTTTCTTTCACAACACAATCAATATGGAAATATGTTTTGCATGACTGTACATGTATAACCTACATCAAATTGCTTGCCTTCTCAAGGAGAAGGGAAGGGAAAAGGGGTGGAGAGAATTTGGAATTCAAACTTTTTTTAAAAAAGTGTTAAAAATTGTTGTACACATGATTGCAAAAAAAAAAAAAAGAATCCCCAGTCTTAATAAAGGAGGTAGCCGTAAGAGCTAATGCAGAGGGAGTATTCTGCAAGAAAAATGACTTGCAAAAGATTAAAAAAACTCAACCATTTGGCTCATGTTTTTGTAACTGAAATCTACCTGCCTTGACAGCTATTAGTTTGTCATTTTTTATTTTATTTCTATTGAATCTTTTCCATCTGTTTAAAGTGAAGATCAAGAATGTTATTCTAATTGTAACGGAAGCCAGGTCTGTCATGGCCCGCTTACCATGGCTTCCATAATCCTAACATGATACAAAACAAACAAGTCTGAACTAATATTATCAGAACCAGTATGAACTAAAAATTTAAATAATATAATATAATACTGAATTGAACATACTACTTCTAAATTTGATTTTTCAGAATTACTAACTTAACCAGATCTTTAAAAAAAATTAAATCTAACGAAAGCTATAAATTTATAGGTCTCATATATAGACCTATATATAGGTCTATATATATGTGTATATATAGACACATATTTATACATATCTGTGTGTATGCACACGCGCACGCACACACACACACACACACACACACACCCCAAACTCCCCCAACCTTCACGAATTCATTTTACAAATCCAAGTGGAAGGCCCCATAGTGTGAGAAGGTACACTATGCCTTCTTGCTAGAGATACTAATGAAAGGGGAGCATAATGGTGGCTAACATCTACATGATTGACACTGCCTATTTTCAAGAAGCCCTTAATTTCATAGTTTGCATGTTCTAATTTCATTTCATAATGTAAATGGTATTCTGTTAGCTGTCAGTCCTTGATTGAGTTTCATTATTTCCAGTCTCATCTATGTTATTACTTCCTGCAAGAAAGGATTTTGAAATAAGTTTACAAAATTGAAAATGTGTCTTTAAATATTATTTATTATATTATTTTAGGTGGAGTCATTGACCCTGTTTGTCACACATTATCCTCCCGTGTGTGAACTAGAAAAAACATATCCACAATGGGTAGGGAACTACCACATGGGATTCCTTGTTAACGAAGATGAAAGTACACAGAACACAGGTATGAAACATTCCCTGCAGAAGATTAGCAGGTCCCAACTTAAGTTTCAGTTTGATTGGAACTTGTATAGGAATATGGGCTTTATTGTTTATTAATATTAATTCTTTATTATTATGTGGAAATATTGGTCTCCCCTAACTTTTTGTTGTAGAGCAACTAGATGGCACAGTGGATAGAGCACTGGGTCTGGAATCAGGAAGACTTGAACTCAAATCCAGCCTCAGACACTTACCAGCTGTTTAACCCTGGGCATATCACTTAACCCTATTTGCCTCAGTTTCCTCATCTGTAAAATGAGATGGAGAAGGAAATAATGAACCACTCCAATATTTTTGCCAAGAAAACCCCAAATGGGGTCACAAAGAGTTGGACACAACTGAACAACAACAACAAAGTCCTATTGTGATGCATAATTTGGGTATTTAGAAAACATTGAGTGCTTAAATCCAACCGCAACCAAACACAAGTTTTGATGGTTTCCACCATTGCTTTGTGTACAGTAGGAGTGATGGACTGAATTTCCCTCTTTCAAGGACCAGCTTAGTTAAGATTGGAGAATCTCATTGCCCGGCTGTCTACCAGGGGATGAGTTTTTCAGCAACCACAACTCTGAAAGGTCATCTACTAGGTTGTATAAAGGTTGAGATCTGTTAATGTAGGCAGTACCTGTAATAACAAAATCATGGATGTCTGAATTATTACTTTGTCCTATGTATACATAGCCTTATGTACTTTTTAGCTATTTTCAAAATGGGCAGAGGCAGGGGATCTGAAAGTTAAAAAAAAAAATCATAAAGAAGAAAATTAGAAAAAATAGAAAATAGGATACCTTAGCTGATACTATTTCATACTAAGGCTCATTTCCAGCAAATGTTCCGAGTAGGAGAAAGGGGCACTGAATTTATTGACAGCATTTAGAGTCTATCTTTTTGTGGTTAGAAATGAAATGTATTATTGAATTAATTATATAGAACATTATTAGGTTCTTTGAAAATAACTTCATTTATGTGCTCAGATAACTTGAAATATTAATATTTTATTACTACAGTCCATCTGGAACATAATATACATAAACGCAGATGCTCCCACGCATTTAACAAGATAAACAAAAAGAAATCAGCCCCATTGCAAATGAAACAGGCAGCTGGTATAATTCCAAGGAATAGCTGTACACACACACACACACACACACACACACACACAGAGCATTCTAAATGTTTTTTCTTGCCTTGGAAACCCAACTGGATTTATGTCCATATGTGTCTCCTCCAAGTTTCCCTGTCTCATCTTCATCCATGAGTAGAGAGTGACATAAGTGCCTAAGACCCAAAGATGCATCTCTCAACAGAATCTTATAGAGACGTACTTGTGGAAGTTATTCTACCACTAGAGTGTACTATATTGTTATTCATCCTTGAAACCTGGGATGAGACTTTTCTTATGAAATTTGACCAGTTGAAAAACTTTTTTCCTGAGTTTACCTTAATTACTACCCTTACAGAGATAATCCATTTCATGAAAATGAGCCTCAGTAGCCCATAGAAATATAACACTAATACAACTACAAATGAAACATCCTTCCATAATTTTAACTATGAAGGTGAGATGTCTCTGACACATCACAACCCTTTCATGCTTTAATATATAATTTAATGAGTTTCTATGACCACTTTTCCCTTCCTCCCCACACCAAAAAAAAAAAAAAAAGAACCTGAAACATCAGCCTTGAAATTTAGTTAGACTGGTCTTCAAATGACAGTTTATTGCGGGGCTTATATTCAAAGCTTTACTATCTTGATAAGATCCGCCAGCTCTCTTGGCATAGTATTGGAGAACCTAAAATCATCTCCATCCTTCAAAGAAGCCTTGAAATAGGACTTCTGTTTATTATGTATTTTGGCACACATGTACATTATATAAACATAGCATAATGTTTTATAATATTTACAGTCCATTTACATTTTAACTTAACCATATAATAATTTCTTTAAGTCCTCAGGTGTGGCACAACGCTTCTGTGAATAGTTGATGTATTAAATGGAGAAATTGTTCCTCTCCTAGGACGCTGCAAAGTTCATCAGGCAGGCATAGGTGTTCAAAATAGAAAAAATATTGATAGAACTAAAAAAAAATATCAGGAAGTGGTACTAAATCAAATAAAGAAATGGACCTGCAAGAAATTTAAAGGCAGGTGGAACAGTAGATAGAGCACCAGGCCTGGACTCAGGAGGATGTGAGTTCAAATCTGGCCTTAGACGCTTACTAGCTTTGTGACCCTGGGTAAATCACTTATCCCCAATTGCCTCCAAAAAGAAAGAAAAAAGAAAAAGAAATTTAAAGGCAGTCCCTGCTTTTTACCACAACACATTACTGGAAAATGTTCCACAGCAATAGTTACATCTCTTTATAGGAGCATGCATTGTTTAAGAATTATTCTTTGTCTACTTCTCAAAGGACTTTAACCTGTTTACATGTTAATAATACTTGGAAGGCTAAAACAGAATGGTTCGTCTAATAGGAATAGGTGCTAGCAGGCAGCTAGGAAGCTCAGTAGTATTAGAGGTGTTGGACGTGGAGCAGAGTCAGGAAGACCTTCATTTGGATTCTGCCTCAGACACTTTGGCTGTGTAACCTTGAGCAAGCCACTTAACCACTCTCGAACTCAATAAAATAAAATAGAGGTAATAACATCACCTACCTCACAAAGTTGTTGTGAGCTTCAAACGAGACAATTCAGATAAAACACTTTGCAAACCTTCAAGTGCCATGTAAATGATGAGACAAGTTGATCGTGACAATTTGACACTGAATTAGGCTCCAGAAAAATATAGGCATATATTATATAGGCATATACCCTATATAATATAATAAGGCAAGATAGGAAAATGTTGTAACTAGAAGCTGTGAAACTGCTCCTGACTAAGGACTCAGTATCAAATAAATTTGGGCAGCTAGGGGACGCAGTAGATAGAGTGCTGGGCCTAGAGTCAGGAAGACTCATCTTCAAATCTGGCTTCAAACACTTCCTAGCTGTGTGAACCTAGGCAAGTCTCTTAACCCTGTTTGCCTCAGTATCCTCCTCTGTAAAAAGGAACTGGAGAAGTAAATGGCAAACCACTCCAATATCTTTGCCAGGAAACTCCGTAATAGGGTCACGAAGAGTTGGACGTGACTGGAATGACTGAATAACAACAAATCAAATAAATGAAGAATATGACCAGCAGTGTGTCCTAAAATCAGAGATAAAAGTGAAAGAGTTCTATCAGCATTCAAAATAATAAAATTATGCTCCAAGTCTATTTTTGTTGTGTTCTAAAGACCTGTGATTTCTTCCTTAGAGGAATTTCCCTTGAAAAAACTCCATCTAACAACACAGATCTACAATTCAAAGTCTTAATGGGTTGTCTAGGGTCCTCAGAAGTTAAATGACTTGTTGAGGGTCAAACAGCCAGTGTGTTGAAGGTGGGATTTGAACCTTGCCCAGGTCTTGATGTCAAGGCTGGCTCTCTCTCTCTTAGCCAGGCTCCAACCTGAGAAGCAAAAGTCAACATCGCACAAAAACATTCACTCGTGAATTGACCACGTCTAAAACGAGTTCATACTCAACCCTCATGTTTTATTATTTACTGGATTTGCTGATCATCAGGAGGAGTTTCAGAAGAGGATAATTTGAATATCAAAGGATAAATAGAGGACTTGAGGAGCATTGATGAAACTCTCAAATATTTTTATAACAAAGACCCTCTTTATGAGTGTGCTATATAAGTCAAACATGATGAATATATCACATTATGCTATTATGCAATTTTGTTGGAAAAATTATGCTCCCCTCACACCCAAATCAACACAATTCATTCTTTACTCTAAAAATTAGCAGATGGTTGCAGTCATTACCTACATCTTATTAAATAAGGTAAACTTAATAATTTTAGTTTCATTTTTCAAAATAAAATAACAATCAAAACCTTTTTTTCCCTATCACTTACTGTAAAATGTTGGTAAATGAATTAATTTTAGTGGTCTTTTCCCATATTAATTATCCTGGGATAGTGAGGACAACAAATAAAAAATACAACTCAACTATAACAGATTTCCTGCAAGAATTAAATACTTAGTTTTTGCAGGGGTAACCTTCCTAGAAAATGGCCTAAAGGTCAAAAACAGAAGTGTTGATACATTGAACCTATGGGAAATAGCGTGTTAAGTTCTTGTGACCACCAAAAACTGTAATCTTTAGCTAGAGATTGCTAAAATACACTTTTCTGCATACAATTCTTTATAACAAAACATTAATTCTGATAATATTACCTTTTCCTTACACAGTAACCATGAAATAACCCATAAAATCCTGGGGAGAGGAGAGGCAACATGGACAGGGTGGGAAGGGACAGGAACAGTGGTGTCAGAAGAACCCCAAAATAAAAAAGAGAAGGGGGAATCTGCCATCTCTAATCTCCCTTTCTGCAGTTGAACTGTTCTCCATTGAAAAGCACATGCCTTAGTGTCAGGCTCTGTCCAAAGGGCCCTAACCAGCCCTGCCCAGACAGCTTTTGAGAGGTTACTTTAGCACTTTCTGGAACAGATTCATGAGCACTTTTACAAATATTTTCCTGGTTTTATTGTGCCTCTCATTTTTTTCTCTACTGATCATAGCTGGGCATATGTATGGTTGCCAAAATGAAAGTTAAATACCCAGATGTTGAGGATTGGCTGTAATTATAACAACTTTGGCCCTTTATGCAAGTCAACAAATATCTATTAAGCACCTACTGTATGCCAGGCACTGTGCTAAGGGCTGGCGATACAAGTAAATAGTCTCTTAGACTTGTATCGCCAGCCGTTAGCACAGTGCCTAGAACATAATAGGTGCTTAAATGTTTGATAACATCTGTTATTTTCAAATGTCTTTCAGATGTCAAAGTCTTCACCTTTTCAGTTATTAGAGAATAAAAGAAATTCTTGCAGATTCTGATTTCATTGTGCCTATCTGATTAACTCATTGAACTTTTTCCCATTTGCTATACAAGGCCCCGCGTAGAATACATCTCACTCTTAAATGAAACTTTTTTTTTTTAAATTGTCCCTCACTCTCTTCCCAGTGATGTAACTATTTCTAAGATTGGGGAAAAGAGGGCAATGGTTAGTTGGCAAGGGTTTCTCTATACTTAGGCTTCAGTCTGCTCCCACCTACTTCCTCACCTGTTCTTTGTTGTCTTGATTTTTTTTTTTAATTAAGAAAAATATTCTTAGCTCTTTGTAATGGAGAGCTTGAGTTTCTGTATTCCTCAGAATCAGCATTCTTTTCACCTCCCACTCTTGGCAGCCACCATTAGAAAGGTATTATTTGCCTCTTACTAAATAGTGAGAGAAAAAGAAGATGGAAAATTCCATTGTACTTTTCTCTGTCAAGCTAGATTCTGTTCATGAGTTGGACTGTTTTGGTTTTCACCTGTTAAAAAGGGCAAAACATGCTGGATTCTCATATTTGTGGGATTTTTTTTATGTTGGGTCTGATCTACAGGGATATAGTAAGTGAAGGATCAAAATGAATTTGTTATAAGATGGTGCCAGCAAAAGACCTGAAGGCCTGCAAAGCTCCAATATTTTTGTTAAAATAGGTTGTTAACAGGTTTCTGTGCAGGTAAATAATAACTGGACAGGTTAATAGCATTTTTAAGTTTTAAAAAGTTATTTTAAAACCAAGTTAAAATGGTTAATAAAAGCTACTCATTTTGGAGATTAAAAGTCAAATTTGAATTATGATGACTTCAATTTGAACTACATTGCTGGGTAGTTTAGCAGAGCAAACTTTCCATTCATCCAGAATGCAAGCAACCAGAATGTTCAAATAGCTTAGAATTTTCCCCCCTTTTGGTCACATTGTATAGTGCATTTATATTCATAATGAGTCCTGTAGGAGGATAGGATCCTAATGTGCTTCCTGATTAATCAAAAAAAGATTAAATTATTTTCATCATGGTTTTTTAACCATATTGATTTTATTATATTGTAATTCTTTGAAAGATAATAATATATGATTAATATGTTAACTCTCAGTTAACCAGAATTATTCATTAACCAGAAGGCCTCATTCCTGTATATTGAAATTGTACAGGTGGTCTTAAAAAAATGAGAAAGAGAGATGATTCTAGTATGCTTACAGCCATTATCTCTCAAGATTGGCTCTATACCAGCTCCATTGTATTTAACAGCAAATTGCACAAAGGTGAAGAGTCTTTTTTTCTACATTGAATTGTTATAAATCTGATGCATACACATTCTATATAGCTACAATTCACTTTCTTCATCTGGAAAATTAAGTGGTAACGCTAGATTTGCTTTCCAGAGTTCCTTCTAACTGATTTTGTGAGTCAAGATGTCCCCAACACAAAAATATTTTATCACAGCAAAATTTATCCATTTTTCAGAGTTGTGGGGAAAAAAGGTAAAATGGTATGTGACATATTAGGAACAAATATGACTTTTTAGGTTGTAAATTGTAGTAAATGTTAAGAAAAAATTATAGCATTCTTAAATATCCCTGATCTTTTGATTTCTTTCTGTTTTCTAATGTGTTTTTTTTTCCCAATCAATTTTTCTTTTTTTCTTTTTCCCCCTTTTCTGCTGTAGGTCAGGAAGATGAGGAAATCCCTGACTTTGTTACTTTTCTTTATCAAATAACCAGAGGAGTTGCTTCAAGGAGCTATGGACTGAATGTAGCCAAACTAGCAGATGTCCCTGGAGAAATCTTAAAGAAAGCAGCTTACAAGTCAAAGGAACTTGAGAGATTAGTCAATGTGAAAAGGTCAGAATTATCCCACTGTACTTTTGACTTTGTAATGAAACCATCAAATCAGAACAAGAGAAAAGGGACTGTCCAACAAAATGAGCACCTAGTGTAGCTTTGAGTACTTCCCCAGATACACTGAAACACGTCATTAAGATAAAATGAAAAATAGCCCTTATAAAAGCTCACGTGGAACCATCTTGCGCCCTTTAGCCACATCTTTAAAAATTAGTTTGTTTTTTTAGTCATTCCTGTAAAGATTGAAATGAATCACTTAAAAAATACAAATGGAAGTATTTAAGAAATCATTGAAGGTAGAAATCATTTCAAATCTATAACCTTTGTTTTAGCCATTTTAAAAAATTAAGATTATAAGAGGAAATTTGCCAAAATAAGTACATATTTAATCTAAACTGAATTATCCCTAAGTGTATTACCCATTTTGTAAATTAATTCCTTATTTATTTAAATAGTCTTCTGGAGTTAAAATTAGGTTCTTTTAACCTTTATACAAGCATAGCAGCAATTCAGAGTACTGTTGTGAACAAGTTTTGACAAAAATGGTTTTACTCCCTACATACGTGCCATGGATGCTGGACTTGGAGTTAGTGGATCTGGATTCTAATCTCAGCTCTGCCATTTGCTACTTGTATGATCTTGGGCAAGTTATTCCATCTCTCTGGCATGAGTTTCCTTATCTATAGAATAATTGGGTGACTCCTTAAGGTCCCTTCACTCTCAGTCTATGAACCAATGCACAACTCTTAGTCCGGTCCTGCTGTTCCAAGGTCAACGCTGACTCTTCATTCCATCTTGGTATCATCACCTTGTAATTAACAGTAGAATGACTTTTGCCTCACCCTAGAAAACATCGCACCTCGACCAAGATTCCTATTATTCACAGTTCACTTACCATGGAACTATAAGTTGGCTTCCTCTCTCTACCTGAAATACTAAATCAAATGATGGCACAGCTGAATAATAATAGAGGCCCTTTCCCAACAATCACAAGTAATCTTGACGTAATATTTTCCAGGGAGAAATTTATAGGAACTAATTGTAAGTCTGGGTTCTGTAAGATTATTTTAGAATCAAGTGTACTGCAAAGTTCAAAGATAAATTCTAAGTCTCTTGTGTGTTTTATTGAGTCCCCCCCCCACCAAGGAACTACAAAAATGAAATCTTGGTAGAAGATACAAAACCAGTTACAGAGAAGATGACAGCTTCCACATGCTATTATTTAGAGCTTATAACTTACAAGTAATAAAGTCTATAGATTACTTATAAAAATTTTAGCTCTTCCACTTGGGATATAAAAGTTTTGAAATCTATAAAATTGCTTTGATGAGGGATGAGCCTGGAGTTGAAAAGTTAGTCTTGTTGCTTACGTCTGGTAAATTGTGACATAAAACAAATATTTGATATTTTGCCTCTCTGGCTGGCATACTGTTCTCAGTAACATTTGTTTTTATACCGTTCTGTATTTTCACCAGCATCCTTTTCAAGATCCAAAATGATATATTTTGTAATTTTTTTTCCCCCTTCCTAGAAAAAGGCTGAAATCTTTTGCGAAACTGTGGAATGCAACTGATGCTACAGAATTACAAGAATGGACAAACATGGTTGAAACTGAATGAACTTCAGCCTGTTTTTGCTGTCTGAAATGGAGAATAACATCAGTGTATAAAAATAAAATGCTGAAAATACAGTTCAAAACAGAGTAACAGCCTAACCCTACGTGATCAGACTGTTTTAAGACAAATGATAGAGACCATGGAATTATGTTCAGTGTGGTTTTTTGGTTGAAATGAAGAGACATTCTAAGCAGACAGTCTTTTACCAGATTCTCAGCTTTTAAATAAAAGTATAAGCCATAGTTTTCCCTATGACAGACATTTGCTATGCATCTAGACAACTGCTTGGCTCAGAAATTTCTGCAGAAAAAATTTTTTTACATACATTAATAAATGGGATAAATGACATTCTTGTACTTTGTTTTTGGTAGGTATAAACTGTTAATTCACATTTCTTTGGTTTCCGTCTAAGAGAACTGCTCCTGAGTGGCTGAAATATGATAGGCAGCATCTATACTACCATTTAAAATCAGTTACTTTGATGGGGACATCATCACTTTTATGACCCAGAAAATAAGAAAGTGTAATTGGTGAGCATTAGAAAAGGAAAAATTAGATATTAAGGAACAGATAACCCAGAAGGGAAAAGATAATTTGAAGTGTGGGAAAATTTAATTATGATCACAAAGTTAACGTAGTTTTAAGACTGTTAGGTAATTTATTCATTTGGTGTGGTCTAGCATAGTGGCCAAGAGAGCTGGCCTTGGAGTCAGGAAAACCTAGCTTTGAATGATGTCTCTGACACATACTAGATGTATGACCTTGGACAAATCACTTAATCTCTGTGTTCCAGGGAATTTGGGAAGGCTGTAAGTTACAGATGATTTGTCATAGGTGGGAGAGAAAGGAAGTTTCTTTTCTATACTTGGAATTCCCCATACTGATGAAATCATAGTAGGTCTTTGGCTTCCTTTCCCATCCCCAATCTACCCCCAAAAACAAACACAGAATTATTAAACATCCACTACAGATAAAGCCTGAAGTTGAAGAGGCTTTTCTTCTATAGATGATGGTACCATGATACATTCTTTAATTTTAGGAAAATTTAGAAAATTTTTTAGGTAAAAGAAGATTTATATTTGTGTTTAATTAATAAACCCAAGACTATTACACTAACCTAGCCATGCATTACACAATGTGTGATTAATTAATTCATTCATTAATTAATACCATTGGCTAAAATGGGGTTATTCCTCAGTCTTAAAAGTTTTATACTTCTTGATTATCCCTTGAGCATTTTAAATTTCATAAATATAGCCCTTTCTTGTGGCTTGAGACTCACTACAAATTACAGGTCTTTTTTTTTTCTATAGCACTTGTGTCTTCTCATCTCTGTTTTTTTGTTGTTCTTATGAATATTATCATGCTTTACCTCCTGTTTCCTATAATATATACACCCTCCCCATTTTAGGTCTTCTCCAGACTTGATGAACATGCTGTCAGTGCCTTTATCCATGTTATTGGTTTTTAACAACAACAACCTCATCCTAAAACAGATTGTTGGAACAGAGCAGTTGATATGCCTTCTCAAGTCATGAGATCACAGAATCATCAGAGTTGGAAGGGAATTTTGAGGCCATAGAATTAAATTTCTGGTGTCTACTTATTGGAAAACTGAGGCCCAGAGAAGCTGTATTATACTCAGAGTCACATAGGCAGTAAGTATTAGTTCTAATATTTCAATCCTGACCTTTCTACTCCGGCCCTCTGTAGAGTTCTGGCATGGTTATCTCTTTGATTCCATTAGACTTCTCCAGTTACTTTAAGGGAAAAACTCTCGGGGCAGGTAGGTGGCGCAGTGGATAGAGCACCGGCCCTGAAGTCAGGAGGACCTGAGTTCAAATCTGGCCTCAGACCAAACACTTGACACATACTAACTGTGTGACCCTGGGCAAGTCACTTAACCCCAATTGCCTCACTTAAAAAAAAAAAAAGAAAGAAAAAAAGAAAAAATTCTGTGGAGTTGTTTTTTTTTAAAATATTTGGCATCTATATTTCAATATAATTGTATTCCTATATCATTCCATGTATTTTATTCATTTTTTTTAAATTCTGAGGAGTCTATAGGCGCATTCTGTGACACAAAAAAAGTTAAGAATCCCTGTCTTAAGATGTCATGGAATTCTAACTCTCCCCCCCCCCCCCCCAAAAAAAAATCCCTCAAAATAAAATTTGTGAAAGCTCAATCTAATTCTAAAAAAAAAAAAAACCAAACCCAAAACATATGCCACATAGCACTTTAAGAACAGCAAGTTGATGTTTCACTCCTTGTTATTGAACATGTATTGTTGTGTCTTCTAAGGTCTCAGAGTGAGTTGACCAATCTATGAAACAACTAGAATTACCTTTTAAGAGGAATGCTTATCCTTTTTTTTTAAAAAAAGTGATTTATCTTATCTTCCTTTCCATATAATATTAACAATTCTACTCTAGCTAGCATCTACCAGTCCCTTAAATACCTTTGAAACATGGTTATTAAATCTGATGATTTGAGTATATTATACTTTTTTAAAAGATCTAATTTTTTTTTAATTTTTAATTCCTTCTTCCATTCTCTCACCCTTTACACTCTGATTCCTCATTCTATCATCTCATCATTAATTGACAGTCACTCTGGTTAATCAAAACTTGATCTTTTCATAGAGTAATAAAAAAAAAAAACAGAAGTATCTCCATTTCACCGAAGATTCTATATTTATCCCATTCTTCAAACTCCCCCACTCTGAAAAGAACTGTTTTAAAATATAAGATTAATAACAACATCTCTCTGATACCACCCCCGGTTTGAGCTTTCGGTGGTGGTAATGAGGATGTAACTGCCTTTTGCATGTGTTTCCTTTTTTATTATATTAATATAATAAGTGCACTCTGTATTTCTTGAGTTGAAACTAGATTAGATTTGGTTTAGGCTGTTTCTCTTTGAGGTCAACCTGCATTGATTTGTGAGATCAGGGTGAGCAACTTCCTTGCTGTTGCCTTAATTATCAATTTGTTCAGTTTGTAGCCGTAGAGAAGTGATTTAGGTGAGTGAGGAAAAAACAAACAAACAAAAACTAATGAATTATTATTAACTCTGATTTCTACCATTGTTGTTAAGTTCTGTTCTTAGAATGGCTGAAAAAATTATGGTATTTGAATGTATGAAATATTATTGTGTAGTACAAAGCATGATTTCAGCAAAGCCTTGGAAGTCTTTTATGAACTTACACAAAATCAGTGAAATAATCAGAAGCAGAAGAACTATTTGTGCAGTAGCATTGTAAAGACAATCTATTTTGAAAGCACTAAGAACTCTGATCAGTGCAGTGACCAACCATGATTCCAGATATCCAGTGGTAAAGAATGCTTCCCACCTCCTGAGGGAAGAGTGATGGACTCCTGACATAGAACGAGATGTACATTTTTATATTGCAAATGTGGGAATATGTTGTGCTTGACTACACAAATGTCTTATAAGGTTTTTTCCCCCTTCCACTAGGAAATGAGAGAGAATAAATGCATATGTATTAAAAATAATTTTAAATTAAAAAATTTCTTATATGTTGAAGGAAACATATAGTATATATGATCAACATCATCTTAGTGTGCTTTAGTGTCCCAGGAAGTACTAGAGGTATGATTTTGGTATGAAAAATCTAATGGATTTTCAAATGTCATTTTTTTAAAAAAGTTTCTTTTAGGTTTCTTTTTAAGCTATGAACAGACTTGTACCTAGAAAAGATGATAATTTTTACCTGTTATTTGGCAGTCAGCAGCAAGAAGGCTACTGATCGACTCACCTGTCTTTTACAATCAGCCTCTAATGACTTATTTATCATTTGCCACTTTTTAATGCAGGTATAGTGAAGGTTGTACAGCTACATGACCTTCTGGGCTAAAGGTTTATGCGACTATCCCCAATGCCTAGAGCAGTACCTGGCACATGGGCACTTAATAATTGGGTATGGCTGCTCTCTTGTGAAATTGATTTATCAAGTTAAAGAAGTAAATAGCCTTCTCCCAAGTTGTTTTTTCCTTTTTCTTTCATGGCTTTTTAAAATGTCCTTGGATCATTATTATTTTAGCACTTGAAGTAGTATTTGAGAGGTATTATGGTGGAAAGGATAGAGTGAGTCTTGGATTCGGGGAAACTCAGATTCAAATTCAGATTCTGACATTTAGCAGCAATGTGGTCATGGACAGGCAAACACCTTCGTGTCTTTGAGCCTCAATTTCCTCATCTCTAAAATGGGGGCAAGGATACACGTAGTATGGGGTAGTTGTGAAACCCAGATGAGATTGTATACGCAAAGCACTTTTCGACCCTTAATGGTGCTATATAAAGATGTGAGTTCAAATGCAGCCTCAGACACTTCCTAGCTGTGTTACACTGGGCAAGTCCCTTAATCTGTTTGCTTCAGTTTCCTCATCTGTGAAACACGGATGACAATAGCACCCACCTCACAAGGTTATTGAGAAAAGATAAAATGAGATACTTTTTGTAAAACGCTTAGCAAACCTTAGAGTATTATGTAAATGCCAAATATTATTGCTATCTTTATTATTTCTGCAGTATTAGATGCTGCTGTCCAGACGCTTCTTAACATTCTTCTCACTTGGCTTTCCTAACATCGCTATTTCCTTGTTTGCTTTCTCAGTGTCCTTCCTCTATCTCTTCCCTTTAGTGCCCTTCATGCTAAGTGTAGGTGTTCTCCAAGGCTGTTCTCAGGCCTGTTTCTCTCTATTTATATACCCACTTTGTAATTTTATCCATCTCAAAGGCTTTAATTATTGCCTTTATAGAGATGCCTCTCAAATATACGCATATGTGTGTGTGTGTGTGTATATATATATATATATATATACACACACACACACACATTTATATATTACTAAGCATATATATGTGTGTGTGTGTGTGTACATCTAGCCACAATTTCTCTTAGATCTAGTTTTGCATTTCCAGTTATCTGTTAGACACCTCTACATAGATGTCCTGCCAGGACCTCAAATCCTACATGTCCCAAACTACCCTCCTCCCAAGTTCCCTATTTTTGGTGATAATAGCTCTGTCCTTCCAGTTACCTGGGCTCAAACTTTTAATCATCTTTTTACTCCTCTTCCCTCCTACCCCCACATCCAAACAATTGCCAGATCCTGCCAATTCTACCTCCAAATAGCCTTTCCCACTTCACACACATACTATCACCCCGCTAATGCAACCTTTATTTTTCGCCTGGACAATTACGACAGGCTCTTAACTGGACGTGCACCCCCCATCCCCACTTTCTCTCTCTTCCAATTCATGCTTCACACAATTTCCAGAATAATCACTGTAAAGCACTATCTCACTTCCTTGCACAAAAACC